TGATAGAATCTATTAATGCTTGAAGCTCTGAGACTCTCACTCTGTACTGCTTAGATATTTGAGCTTCTTATCAGAGTTAATACAATATCTTTCTATGAGATAATACTTATAGAAAGACAGAAGTTATTGTTACAGATATAATAGAAATAACAGAAGTGAGAGAATAGATAAGTGTATAAGATCTCTCTCTTCTTCAGCTGCTTAGCATAGCACAGATATGTAACAGTACTGATCAGAGACTGCATCAGAGCCTTCTCATAGAGAGAAGATAAAGAAATTACAGAACTCTGCAGACTCAACTCAGCAGCATTCTGAGAAGGGCTCAGATATGTCATAAGAGAGAAACTACAGATTGAGCTTCTTGAAGTCACTGTCTCTGAAATCAAGTTCTCTCTGAGATTCTCTTCAAATGATTATACAGAGTCATACATCACTATGTTAACTGAGAGAGAGAGCAGCATCACAACAGTAGTAAGAGAGGCAGAGAAAGAACTGAACATGAATAAATTAACTGACAGAAGAGATAACACCTCACTGCAAGGCATAGCAACTACTGTCACAGTCATAAGAGAAGTAGAAGAAGAAGAAGAAGAAATGACAATGAGAGCAGTGCTTCTGCAGCTCATTGACACTGTCATCTCTGTCTTCAACCTGGCTTTCTTAACAGTCACAGAGGCCACAGCTGCATCATAAAGATATTTAATTACTAGAAAATATCAGAATAAGTTTTTTATTATCTTTTAAGAATGATGCTCTCATACACTAACTGTTACAATTGAGAAAGAGAGAAAGAAAAATGTGTTACAGAGAAGAAAGATCTTTTCAAAAAATTCTATTATTACTGTTAACTTTGTCTCTAAAATATATCACTTTTACAGAGAATTTCACATATAGAACAGAATATGATGAATAATCTGTAAGTCACTCATTAACTACATTTTTCATATTTCAAATTAATAAATAAGAAACTCACTTATCACACATTGATTTAAATGAAGATGAGAAAAGAAAGATCTACACAGTCAGCAGAAAGACTCATCTATTTCTTTATATTATACACAGTATACATACTGTCAATCAGTTGATAATTATTGCTATATAACAAAGATAACTTCTAATTCAGTAATCTTGAGAGCATCAGAACTATGCTCTTAAAGAAGAGAGTATTATTATACTCTCAGCTGTATCAAGACTCTGTTACAGTTTTACACAGCTCATTACTTTCATGTAAATAATTTTATCTTATCTGAACCAGTTTTCAATTATTCTATGACATTATTCAGATATATCATAGAAAGATCTGAATAATGAATATGAGAATCTCACTTCTATACAAGATTAGCAGATTACTCTTTGTTAACAGTGAGACACTGCTAAGATATCACTCTGACTATTCTCACTCATGAAATGAGAGAAGAGTATTCACTCATTGTCTATATAGAATAGCTAGATGCTGGCTTCTTATTAAAGAAGTCAGCAATTCATCTTTTCTTCTACTGAAATATATACAAGAGTTACTGCATTTCTCATACAATCTTCTTAGTATACTAAGTATCATATCTGTGATATTCTCACAATAACTCTGTAGCTCACGAGCTTGCTATTCAAGCAAGATAGTCAAGCTCACTTATACAGCTTCTCAAACAATCATCTCTATATGACACTGCTGACTAGTCACCGCTTCAGTTCCGCTATGTTACAATTCTATTGAATCAAATCTATCATCAAATCTTTATATATAAGATTTGAAATAGTCATATTCTAGTTTCAGCTGTATTATAGATGAAAATATTTTCTTTTTATATTTAATTAAACAAGATTTTCACTTGAGTTTTGTTTCAAATCTTGAATAATGTATACTCTTCTTTTATTTCTGCTAGCTTTCATTTCACTTATCTAAACAAGATTCTTTTATCTTTCTCTTTATAAGAGATCAGAACATAATTTTTTAAATAGATCTGCTTAATTCTGAACTCTTTTTTACAGCTGAATCAGTCAATTCATTGTCATGAATATTCATATGAGTAGAAACTTAGTGCAGATAAATTATCAGCTTTGATATTCTTCTCTTTTGAATTTTTAAAGCAGAGTTTAAAATCAGTTCAAGATTTATTTGATCATTATAAATCTGACTATTTCTAAGTCTTTTTAAAGCATCTTGATTATGAGAGAATATTCATATCTCTTTTAAACTATTTTCTCTTTTATGAGATTTTATTTCAATGAGTTTAAAAACTTTCACTATTTCAAATAGTTCAGTATCAAAGACTTCAGATTCACAGCCTAAATTTGAGAAATTTAAGATAAAATTGATATTATCTTTAGTATAAGCAATACCTGTGTCTAATATATTCAAATTCTCATTTTTTGAGGCATCTAAATAAATCAGAATAGAGTCTTTTATATTTATTATAGAAATTCTCTTTAAATACTGTTTATATTCTTTCTCTTTATATAGTTCACTTATTTATAAGTCTATAAGAAATTCAAGCTTTTCTCTTCAGAGAGATAACTTCTCATGATCAACTTTTTCAACATTTAAAGAAGAAAATTGAGTTTTAACTAGTGAGTATAGTCTGTATAGTTGAGAAGGCATTTTCTTTGAAGACTTATTTTCATTTCAATCAAGAAATCTATTTCAATCCAGTTCATTTCCAGAGTTAATTAATGAAAATGAAGAAGAGACTCTTTCTCTGATAATATAATTTAAGCTCATCTTTATAACTCTTAGAGTATCCTTTATACAGGTCTTTTCAAATCTAATAGCAGAAGAGAGAATTGAAGCTTCAATTTTCATTGCTTTACTAGAACATGATTTGAATACTCTCAGAATTCTTCTCAAAGCTCTGTTTTACAGACTTTGAAAGAGTGCAGTGAAATTTTCTTGATTATTTCATCAAAGTTGAACTTCATCATCAGTTACTGAGATAATACAGGTCATATATAACTGTTTCATAGTCTGGAAGAATAGATCTCTCTATATATTTAATAGTCTGATTATGTTATTTAGTAGTCTTTCTGTCTTGATAGTTGTTTGTTAAATATAATATTTAAAATTCAACTTAGAGTTTAATCATACTTCTAATCATTTGATATTTAAACTGAGTTTAATCTCTCTATTTAAAAGAGTTAGGTATAGTTCTTTCTCATTGAATCTAGAAAAGAAATGAAGTAACTCAGTTTTATTCATATTAAATTAAATTTGATTGATATCTGCTCTAATAAAGATTTTCTTTACTACTTTTTCAATCACTTTCAAATTCTCTTTGATTATTTTTGAGCTGTAGACTAGATCAATATCATTCATCTAACTCAGAGATTACACTATTTTCATATCTCTATTTTTGAATAGATATGCAGTGTATATTGCAAATAAAATGAATAAGATTGAATATTCTTGTAATACTTTCATTTTTATCTTAGTCTTGTCTTATTTCATTTCATCAAAGAATAGTTGTATAATTCTTCTAGATATAAAACTGTAATATGGCGGAACCGAAGTGATGACTAGTTAGCAGCATCATGTAGAGATAGTTGTTTGAAAAGCTGTATAAGTGAGCTTAACTATCTTACTTGAATAGCAAGCTTGTAGACTGCAGAGTTATTACAAGAATATCACAGATATGATACTTAGTATACTAAGAAGATTATATGAGAAATGCAGTAACTCCCATATATATTTCTGTAGAGGAAAGATGAATTGCTGACTTCTTTGATAGAGAGTCAGTATCTAGCTATTCTATATAGATAATGAGTAAATACTCTTCTCTCATTTCATAAGTAAGAATAGCTGAAGCAATATCTCAGCAGTATCTCACTGTTAAGAAAGAGTAATCTGCTGACCTTGTATAGAAGTGAGATTCTTATATTTATTAATCAGATCTTTCTATGATATATCTGAATGATATTATAGAGTGATTGAAAATCAGTTCAGACAGAATGAAATCATCTGTATGAAAGTGATGAGCTGTATGAAACTGCAATGAGATCTTGACATGGCTGAGAGTGTGACAATATTCTCTTCTTTAAGAGCATAGTCTCAATGTTTTCAAGATTACTGAATTAAAAGTCATCTTTATTATATAGCAACAGTTGTCAGCTGATTGATAGCATGTGTACTTAGACTGACCGTGTGACCGTGTCTGGGACCAGGACCAGATTTTTTGATAGTCTCATTATCAATTCGACTGCTCTCATTACACGGTTTTAACATTAGATAGTAGTTTCATACTGTCCCAGTGAGACTTACTGTCTACTCTTATCACATTTTTCAAATAAGACCATGATTTTCACTTCTCAATTTAAATTATTTTTATTACTTTAAATGACTTTAAATCTCATTTAAGCATTATCAAAAAGCATTACTTTTTAAAAAATTAAAAATAGTCTAAAAAAAACCTTAAAATGTCTAAAAATAGTCACTTTATGCTAAGAATGAGACTAAATGGGACCAAATGAGACCACTTTCTCATTTTTTTCAAGTCATGGTTCCATTTTAAGATCTGATATATAGTCACTTTACATGTTTTTTTAATAGCCAGTCCCAGCGGGATTCACGCCAAGAAATGTATGGGATCAGACCAAATGGAACCAAACGTGAAATTCATGATCCCGGCGGCCAGTCTATGTGTACTGCATGTGATACAAAGAAATAGATGAGTTTCTCTGCTAACTGTGTAGATCTTTCTTTCTCATCTCTGTTCAAATCAAATGTGTGATAAGTGAGTTTCTTATATATTGATTTAAAATGTGAAAATGTAGTTAATAAGTGACTTGTAGATCTTTTATTATATTCTATTCTATATATAAAATCCTCTGTAAAAGTGATGTGTTTTAGAGACAAAGTTAATAGTAGTGACAGAATTTTTTGAAAAGATCTTTTCTTCTCTGTAAAACATTTTTCTTTCTCTCTTCTCAATTGTAACAGTGAGTGTATGAGAGTATCATTCTTGAAAGATAATAAAGGACTTATTCTGACATTTTCTAGTAAGTAAATATTTTTATGATGCAGCTGCAGTCTCTGTGACTGTCAAGAAAGCTTGATTGAACACAGAGACAGCAGTGTTGATGAACTGCAGAAGCACTGCTTTCATTGTCATATCTTCTTCTTCTTCTTCTTCTGCTTCTCTTACGGCCGCAGCAGTAGTCACTAGACTGGCCGGCGGGACCATGAATTTCACATTTGGTCCCATTTGATATGGTCTCATACATTTCTTGACGTGAGTCTTACCAGGACCAAGCCTTAAAAAAATCTGAAAATGAACCATTTCTGAGAGAAATGGTATGAAAAATGACCAGATTTAATTCAAGAACAGTGAAATGAGAGTAATTTCTCAGAATCAACTGTGAAAGATGATTATTCTTTCAAAATCAGAATGAGACTGAGACTGAAGATTAAAATCAGTCTTATTCAGTTCATTCAGTGATTACTTATATAATCAGAATTTAATAATAATTATTGATAACACTCATGAAATAACTAAATACATTCTTGTGTAAGTTTATTCTTCACTTTCTCATGAAAACTACACTTCTCTGATATACTGTGATCAGAGATATTAAACTGTCTGATAATTTCATGTTGTATAATTATGAGTTTCTTGATTATTTCTTCTTATAATTGTTCTCAGTAATAGTGATAAATATCTTAACTTGAGTTAAACTTTCACTTCATTCTCATCTCTGTTAATAAAATTATCAGAATATCATGCATCATTAGTACAACAGTTGAATATATACTCTCAATAATTTTTCATAACTCTAAAATTGATTTGACATGTAAATTTATCAGATTATCTTAAAGATAGCAGTCAAATTCAGTTTTATAAGTATATAGTTTTGTCTGATTTTCAGTTACAATCAATGTATACAAGTTCTATTTCAAAGTGAGTATTATAGTTCTATATAATATGAAGTATTATCAAAGATTATTACTTACTAGAGAATTGTATTTCACTGTCTTCATATTTTAAATATCTGCTTATTTAAATCTCTGATAGTTAGTATTGTAGTAGTCTCAGACTAATTTAATATATAAGTCTCATTTCTTCTCTATTCAATCTTGAGAAGTGTAGATGTTAATTTAATAGAAGAGATCTAGTAGAGCTGCTACAGTATAGTACTCTGTAAAAGATTGTTCAGTTTTACTGTAGTAATATACTAGTTTATCTCTTACAGTAATAATAGCCTGTGCTATAGCATTATCTCAGACTGAATTTCTTTTTAAGTGATTCAACTGCTTCTTAAGATGAGTAAATAAACTGATATACACTTATCAGACTGACTGCAGCATTGATGTACAAGTGATTGAGACTATCTTTATTATCTTATAAAACAGAAACAGTAAATCAATCATATATTTCAACTGAGTTCACTTTATATCAGAAAGTTTCAATATCTAAATCTTTTTCTAATCAGAGTATTACACTCAATGATTAATTATCTGATATAATCAAAGAGTCTGAATAGTTATCTTATATATTGAACTTCACTGTGTTCTAACATTCTGTATTATATTCAGTGATGTGACTGATTTGTTTATTTATTAAATATCATGAAATTATTATTATTATTTAGAGAAGATATAAATCATATTAGTAATGTTTCAAATCTGTGATATTTAAATTATTAGTCAATCTATTCAAAATTAACAGTAGTATTATTAAAAAGCATTATTAAAAAGTATTATTAAAAAGTATTATTAAAAAACACTATCTTTTATAAAGTGAATATAAAAGTTACTTGAGTAATCACTTTTATCTTATTCTCATCTCAAGAATCAGTCATCTCATTATTCTTCATCTTGATATTAAGATTCTTTATCAGTGTTTATATCACAAGTTAAATCATATAAGCAATGCAGAGAATATAATCTTATTTATTATTTCAGAAATACAAAGTTAATTTTTACTTCAAGCTCTTTATTATAGTGTAGTTATTTACAGCAGTATCAGTTATAATTGTAAGAAGACTAAGACTAATATCTCAATAGTTATTTTTAATCACAGTCATTAATATCTCTACTATATAATTCTCAGTATGACTACTGATCAATGATTCAAATTCAATTAATATCTCTTAATAAGTTTAGTTCTCATCAATATAATAACATATAACTCTTATAAATGTAAGATTGTTTGTACTAGTTTATATATTTACTGTGAGAGACAATCTTCAATGATTCTTCAACTCTGATTCTAGATATTGTATATTAACTTTGTAGTGTGTCTCAAGATTGAACTGAAGACAGAATTGATATGAAATATAAAGATTTGAATTAAGTATTTAAAGAAGTGTTCAGAATTCAGAGTTTTCAATTAATTGAAGAGAAAAATTTAGAGATATATATATATAAAGTAATTATTCACAGAAGTTATTAGATGAGAGTTATAAAATCAGAGTATTAATATATAATCATTTTCACATGATTTTCTTCAAATTAGAAAGTTAGTATTATTAAAAATTATTATCTGATAGAGTAACTTATCAGCTCAGTAGTAATTTTCTGATTATTTTTCTTTTATTATCTGCATTCTGATGACTTCAGATGTCAGAAAATTTCTTCAGAGTTATAATCAGTTTATAATGAATGTTTCTGAATGAAGTTGTAGTGATTATAGCAGAGAGATAACTCTTCAGTAATCTGTAATACAATCTATTGATAATTATTTCATAGTTCATCTCAGTATTTATATTGAGTTTTTCATAAATTTCATGACCTGAAATTAAATATGAAGAATGAAGTGATTATTCATTATAATTAAAAGAGAGCATTCTATATTAAATTGTAAATAATATAGACTTTATAATTTACAGTAATTTCTTGAAGAGTTTATGAATCTTCAATAGAAGTAAAAGAAGTGAATGAAGTGAATTCAGAAGATATGATAATAGTTTGAGAAAGATAATAATTTATTTTCAATAACTGATCACTGATGTGTGTAAGAAGAATTAATATAAGAGAAAATAATCTTGTTTCTTAGCTTAGTTATAATTTTAGTACTAACTCAGATTGAATATCATTGATATATAAAAGTAAATAAACAATCTTTATTAATCTCTATCATATTTCTTAAAATATATTAATATTATAAAAGAGAGTATTATTAAATTACATTATCATATAATATCATTAAAAATATATTAATATTGTGAATATCAATATTGAAAAAATGTTAATACTTATATATTATAGTGATTTGTGAATCATGATAGTTAAATATATATATATATATATATTATTTCTGCCTTGATTACAACTTGTACAATAATTTTTGAAAACTCAAAATCAATTTTACTTATTAATAATTATGAACTTAAACTTATAACTAACTAATATAAAAAGAAAAAAACTTTTTCTACTTCTTCTCTTTCTCATTCTTCTTATCATTCTTTATAATTCATTTCTTATTCTTCTTCTTCTTCTTCTTCTTCTCATCTGAGATGATAATCATCTCAAAATCTCTCTTCACTGTCTTCTTAGAGAAGAGTTCTCACTGCTCTCTCTCAGCCAGGTTAATCTGCATCTCAAAATCTCACATTTTCTGATCTACTGTCTTGAGTTCCATCTCAGCAGCAAGCAGATTGACATACTCAGAGAGTAGAGTTATCTTCTCAATATTCTGAATGATGAAGCATATTCAAGATCTGAATAAGGTCTTAATTTCCTTCTTCTCTGCTAGCTTCTACTAATTAATTAGAGAACAGAAGTATTATCAAAAATCATTATCTCTTAATAAATAAAAAACTTATCAGTATTGACTTCTTTATCTTCTACTTTAACACTCTCTTAATCTTCTTCTATCATTACTTATTTATAGTAATACTCTTCTTCTCTCTCTCTCTCTTTATCTTGTACTCAAATTATTCTCAGAACTTCTTCTGATCTCATTACTACTTTATAAGACTCTTTACTATCTTCTACTTCAATCTCTCACAGATGATATCATTCATATTATTTCTATACTTTGTTCAGTCTAAATCTATCAGAAGTATTACTTAAAATCATTATCATTCTACTCTCTTACAGAGTCTCTTCAAGGCATTATAACATGTCTTATAATCTGTCTTCTCTCACTTAAACATCTTCTTCTTCTCTTTCTTCAATCTGTGACAGTGCTCATATGCCTTGATAATCCGCAGAACTGCAGAATATTTAAAGAGAGATAATATAATTAATTTCAGTGAGTATTGAAGAGAGATGAAGACAGAAGAGACAGTCAGAAATAATATAATAATAATAATTATAATAATAATGATGATGGTAATAATGATGATAATAGTGATAATGATAATAATGATAATAATAATGATAATGATGATGATGATGATAATGATAAAAGAGAAAGTGCATTGAAATATATTACTGACTTATCAAATATAAAGAGATAAAGAAAATATTAACAGCTTTCAGAGATATATAGAAACAGCTACAGTGTTGTATAGCAACATTATCTTCATTCAATACATACAGTGTTAATATTCTTTGTATACAGTTATCACATAATCTATATCAGAAATATATGCAGAAAACAGATCTTTGTTACTAGAGAGAATAATTGCAGCAATTCTCTGTTTTCATATTATAAAGATAAGTTATTCTCATTTCTTTCTTCTCTCTTTTCTCTTCTTCTTCAACTCATCACTAAGTTCAAGCTGATATGATAACTATTAAAACACTCTTAGAAACTCTTAAATTAAAGAGTATAGACTAATCAAATTTTAAATACAGATGAATCAAATTATATTCAATATTACTAATTATTTATCTCTTCTTAATAAAATCACAGTCATGTCTTTTTCTCTCTCTCTCTCAAATAAAACATGACCTGTGAAAAGTGAGTATCATGTCAGATTATAATGACTAACACAGTCTCAGTACACAGAGCTGTATATATACAGCACATGCTGAACTGAGAGACTGTGTGAGTTGCAAATCAGTATCAGTATCTCAGAGAGAGTCATGCAGTGTGAAAAAGCTGCAATTCTCAGTCACATACATAGAGAATGAATTGTCACAGCAAGTGTATATACATTGCATGAAAGTAACACTTTTTAATAACACTCAGTCTCTGATATTATGAAAATAGAGTCTCTTCATGAGATCTGCTTTTATCAGAAGTCAGAGAATCTTATATTTCTCAAGATTATCTTCATATACCTTGTCTGTGAAATTAATGAGAGAAATTATCAA